CAAGGTAGTCCTCTCCTTCCATGCTTTCTTTCTGGAGCTGCATTAAATCTTCAGTGCCCAGAGGTGTCCGGGCGCCTCTGCCCAGAATGCTGCCCGTGTTCACTGTGCCCAGCGAGGAGTTCAGGTGAGGAGCAGCTCAGGGTAAGGTTGGGGGCTCTCAGGCCCTCCCCACTGTACAGGTTGCAGCCCAGACTGATGGTAAAGCCTGGACAGGACTGATACTTTTTTCGCTGGACCTGTCTGGAAGGGCTGGTGGTGCTGGGCAAAGTCCTGATATGGTGCCACTGCAGGGAAGTTTGGGGACACTCTCACACAGGAGAGATTCAGGAGCTTAAATGGGTGTGGGTGCTTAAATGCAACCTTCTTAACCACCTCTCTCAGGAATAGCACGAACTGCCCCATCCCTGTGCCACGGGTTCCAGGGCAAGGCAGGAGGGGTGGTCTATGATCAGGGAAGCCGGTCACGTCCAGGAACAACTCCAGCACATGGTGCCAGGGAAGAGCTTTTATTTCTCAGCCAGCAAAGCTCCGTGGCGCCCAGCTGAAAGGCGCTGGAGCCCATGAGTCGGGGCAGGGGTGCAGAGGGCACTGCTGCACAGCAGGGACAGTGGGCTCAGTGATGGCAGGGTCAGGACAGCATTGTTCCCTTGTCACTGCTGGGCCAGATCGAGCCCCGGGGCTCCCTCTCAGGGCACAGAAGCCCTGCTGCCTGTGCTGTGCCTCCTTGTCAGTGCTCTAGCAGCCTTTCCCCCATGCAGGGGTAACTGGCCTTGCTCATCACTGCACTGCCCACTGCCCCCTTCTCTGGCTGCCCCAGGGGTGAAGCTCTCTGGGGGGATGTTCCCTTCCCCAGCATTTTCTCATCTGCTGCCTGCTCGCTGCTCCCTGCAGCTTGCCTCTTCCAGAGCCTCTCCTGGTGTCTCATCCTCCATGTCCTCCAGCTCTGGGGACCCCTCAGCTGGCTCCAGCCCCTCACTGGGAGGGAGGCCCTGGCTCTGGGGCTCTGTTTGGCTGAGACTGAGCTGCACTCCCTGCGCCAGCTTCCTCTGTCCCACTGGCTCCCTGTTCCAGCCTCTGCTCAATCCCTGCTGCCTCTGGCCCCCCTGATGCCCCACATTGCCCTGCATCCAGTCTTTCCATCTCTGCTGATAGACTCTCTTCCTCTTTGTCCTCCTCCACTTTTCCCTTTGCTACCTTCTCCTCCTCTCTCTCCCCTTTTCCCTCCTTTTCTTTTTCCTTTTCCACCTCCTCTCCCTCTTGCAATTTCTCATCTTCCTCTTTTGCCTCCCTCTCTCCCTTCTCCTGCCTCTCCTCTTTTTCTTCCTTTTCTTCCACCTTCTCCATCTCCTCTTCCTCCAGTTTTTCATCTTCCTCCTCTGCCCCCCTCTCTACCTTCTCCTTCTCCATCTCTTCTTCTTCCTTTTCTTCTTCCTTTTCTTCGTCCTTTTCTTCGTCCTTTTCTTCGTCCTTTTCTTCGTCCTTTTCTTCTTCCTTTTCTTCTTCCTCTTCTTCCTCCTTTTCTTCTTCCTCTTCTTCTTCCTCTTCTTCTTCCTCTTCTTCTTCCTCTTCTTCTTCCT